TGCAAAAGACTGCTGGTGGAATGCACACATGTCCATGGTAGCGGAAAAGGGCAAAGCATGAGCAGGGAAGCTGCACCCAATACTCGCAAACCGGCACCTCGATACACGCATCAAATTGACGGTTTTGAAGAGCGTAATCGTACCGCCGCTAGAGTACGCCGGAGAAGTATGGGAAGGAAATAAGAAGGTAGTGAAAGAACTCGAGGCGGCGCAGATGAAAGCAGCGAAAATCATCCTAGGATGCTCCACGCGCACAAGTAATGCAGCCGTGAGGGCAGAATTGGGGATCCAATCCCTACGGTCGGGAAGAGACGCGAGGAAGCTGACCTGGCAGTATCGCATGTGCGGGATGGGAGAGGAGAGGTTGCCGAGAATTGTATGGGAGGCGAAGTGGGCAAACAAAAAGAGGGGTAGACAACCCACGGAATGGGTCAAGGTTGTAGAGGACGTATGGAAGGGGCTCGACATCGACGAAGATGAAACGCTGGAAACGGAGGGTCTACAGGGGTTCAAGGAGAAGATATCTGTTGCTTGTGCCGAGAGAGAAGAACAGAATCTGAGGAAAGAATCCAAGGATAAGGAGGGTCTAGAAGTGTACGGAATGTTGAAGGAAAGAATAGGGTTCAAGCTGTCTCTTATACACATCTAGATGTGTATAAGAGACAGGGAGGAACCAGTAGAACATAGATGGAAGTGGGGGATCGAGGAGATTGCAGTAGTGGACCAGTACACATACCTCGGAGTAGAGATCGCAAAAGACTGCTCGTGGAATGCACACATGTCCAAGGTAGCGGAAAAGGGCAAAGCACGAGCAGGGAAGCTGCATCCAATACTCGCAAACCGGCACCTCGATACACGCATCAAATTGACGGTTTTGAAGAGCGTAATCGTACCGCCGCTAGAGTACGCCGGAGAAGTATGGGAAGGAAATAAAAAAAAGAAGGTAGTGAAAAAAGCGGCGCAGATGAAAGCAGCGAAAATCATTCTAGGATGCTCCAGGCGCACAAGTAATGCAGCCGTGAGGGCAGAATTGGGGATCCAATCCCTACGGTCGGGAAGAGACGCGAGGAAGCTGACCTGGCAGTATCGCATGTGCGGGATGGGAGAGGAGAGGTTGCCGAGGATTGTATGGGAGGCGAAGTGGGCAAACAAAAAGAGGGGTAGACAACCCACGGAATGGGTCAAGGTTGTAGAGGACGTATGGAAGGGGCTCGACATCGACGAAGATGAAACGCTGGAAACGGAGGGTCTACAGGGGTTCAAGGAGAAGATATCTGTTGCTTGTGCCGAGAGAGAAGAACAGAATCTGAGGAAAGAATCCAAGGATAAGGAGGGTCTAGAAGTGTACGGAATGTTGAAGGAAGGAATAGGGTTCAAGGACTACCTACATGGACCAATGGATGCAGGAACAAAGCTTAAGGTCAAATTCAGGACCGGGGACATAGGCCTTCGAGAACGTCGACGAAGACATAGGACGGTAGACGAGGAAGACGACGAGTTCAAATGTGATTGCGGCTTCGAATGCGAAGACCGTGTTCATGTAGTCGCGGAATGTCCGTTGTACAAGAAGGAGAGGGAAGTGTACGTGACTGAGCTGGGAAAAATAGATGAGACATAGAGGGAGATGTTTGAGGCATGGAATTGAGAGGATAGGACGGTAGCTGTAGTGGGGCATAGGAGGTGGGTTGAAAAGGCGGGAAGGGATATCGTTAGGATAGACAGACTAGGGAAGACATTTTTGAGCCACTTTTGGCAAAGTAGAAAGGAACCATTGGCCATCGGTGATCGGTCCTGTGGACACAATGCTCTGTCCTCTCGAGGACGCGTGGTCAATGGTCTAACCGCTAAGGCATGCAAAACATAAGAGTACGCCCCCCCCCCCTCCATACCCACCGAACACCCCAAAGACCAAACGCCACTCCTCAGTTTCAAGTAGTTTATGAATCCACCAGTGGGGAGAGACCTTACCCATGCTTGATCATGACAAGGTACGTAGGTACGACACCACTTTTGCAGGTGTATGCGTACGTGAATCTTCGCACATACACCGCCGCTGTGCCGTAACACTGCTGTACATCCGAAAGGAGTAGAAATTAGGCTCGATATTAACGCTTCGGAATAGTCGTGCATGTTCCACGGAACTGTTAAAAGAAAACCCGACTTTTTTTCGCTTGTTCTATTCGTGATGTCATCGCAAAAAGTACGTTTCCTTCCCTGAATATACGGTTAGCTCGGCACACAACAGGTCGACTTGGTGTGCTCACCGTAGAGCAGCGGTAAAAGCGCAATGAGCAGCCCCCGACACGGAGGGCAACACGCTTAGAAAGATCCTATCCACGCGGCCTGCTGTTTTCAGTTTCGGCAACAACAGGCGCAGGGCAGATTGTCGCAACCTGGATGTTGCTTGCGATTTCTTCAGTTTGCCAGCTCAATGTTCACGGTTACGACTCCCATCTTTGACCACCAACTGCCCAAAGGTAGACGAGCTCAACAATCATGTGGCGGCAGCCGCGCTGACGGCCAGCATCATATAGATGGCCAATCCGCAAGGATTAGTGTGTCGGAGGCCCTGCTGCTCTTCTGCTGCGTGGTGCCGTGGATTGATGTTGACGTGTGTGTCCGACCAAAAACAGGACATCTCACCGCATTTTTTCCAACGGCATTTTGGTGAGGTGGCACACGTCTCTCTCACACCTTATTGAGCAGCACCCAAGCACCCAATAACCACCAAGCAGCACGGCGCCGGGAGATGGCATCATATAGACAGCCGAACCGAAGGAATCAGCGCGTTGGAGGTCTTGGTGCTGCTGCTGTACTCGTTCTACTGTTTCCGTGTTTGATACGTGTGATTGAAAAATATTCCCCAGCACCAACAGCAGCAGTTGAAGCCGAGAGCACTACGCAATGTCTAGTTTTGGACCAAGAACGGACTGAACGCCGCTTCTGCCGCTTGTCCATCTCCACAACAGACCTGCATGTGAGTCTGGCAGGTCTTTGTAGCGTTCTCAGTTATGTTACAGCGCCCGCGGTGCGTTTGTCCGATGCTTCTGTCAAAAACACGGATCCGTGAAAGTAGGAAGCCCCCAAGAATATCGGCTCCTTCTTTTCACGTTTTCGGGAAAAAACGCCTCCATATATGCTCAAGCAAAAACGTTTCCGTGAAATGTTACGTGATTTTTGGTCGTTAATATTACCCCTTTTAGACAGGTTTGAAATGAAAGATTGGAGACAGAGAAGATCTCTGTGCTTCGAAACTTCGGCAAGTCAGCAGTCTCATTGGCCCAGCAGGTTTGTAGAAATTCCATTACAGATGGCACAGATTAAAGGGCCGTAATACCCACATAAATGCGTTGGTACAGCAGCTGGGTGTCACGGCGTATATATGGGAGTCTCCGCATTGCGAAGCCGAGGCCGATTGATTACCTTCAAAAGGCGAAGATAAATAAAAAAGCCTTGATGACGCGCACTCTCGCCTAGCTGCCCCAATACCGTCTCATACATGCATGGCGCCGTGAAGAAACGAGGTACCCACACTGCTTCTCCCGCCAGAGAGGGGGAGCCTACCCCCCCCGTCTGCGCGCGCACCCCGCTTCAACCGTTCCCTAACGCAAGAGCCAGAAAGTCGAGCAAGGAAAAACGTCAACATGGGCAGCAACAACATGCCAGCAACAACATGCCCTCCTACACACGCTTGTCGGCGTTCCCGACGAGATATCTATGCAAAACGCACACCTGGTTCAGCCTGGTACCGGCACAGGGTGGACAGCCGCAGCCCATTCTCCGGTATAGCTTGGCCCTCAAAGCTCTGTTCGTTTCCCATGACGTTGTCTCGCCCCGCGGTGCTACAGCAACAACGAAGGGGCGATCCACCACGGCTAACAAAGCAGGGCTCACGAAAAAGCCAGACAGACTGGAGGAGACAGAGATCCGCTTGTGTGACTGTAGAAGGACGCTCACGGCTTACTCGCGAGTTTTCCGTCACTACATAATGTTAGGCCCTCTCTATCCCACTACTGCTGTTGAGCAGGGTTGGTCGCAGGTAGCGGGTGGTGGGATGGCGGGTGGAATGTTTTCGTGTCAAGTGTCACAGCAGTCAAGCAAGCACCACTCGGGGGCTCCGCGGATTGCACACGCTTAGCGGCATGTACCGTACAGGTGCGGCACAGGATACAACACCCCCTCAGCCCTGAATTCTCGACCGACAACGGTCGATTTTCAAGGCCCGAATACTCAACAGCAGCAAAAAAGAGCGCGGCGCCAAAATGGCGGCGTTGGAAGCATCTCCTCGACATATTTCCGAAACGAATCAGTTTGAGTTATCCTCTTCTTCGTCAAGTTGTGTCGAGCTTTGACAATCGGTCCAGGCGGTGTGGTATCTCATGTCACCCATGTGGGTTTGCGAACACACCGCACCCCGCCCAGCTGAGGACCGACTTTTCAAGACCCGATGGTCCGATGTAGTCTGCGGCAAAACAGTAACAGTTTTCCAAAAAATGGCGGCGTTCGAACCGTCTCATCGAGGGCTTCCCGAAACGCATCATGTGATTTTGGTTGGCATTCATGTTTTGTCCTGTGGGGGAGTGTAATCGAGCTTACAAATCGGTCTAAGGGTGTGGTATCTTACGACGCATGCACCCTTCATAGCGCACCCTTTCTTTGATCATATCGGGTAAAGACATGGAAACCCGTGGCCACAAGTGCAAGACCCGAAAAAAAAAACAGTTCTACGTTGAACTGATTTGAAGGTCCCACCAACTGGAGCGAAAAGGTTCGGAAATTCTGAAAATAAACATAAACATCCCACCACGGCAATCCATATCATACGGCTGTGTGGGAGCACTATCTATGCAGTGATTCAAATACTCGACCCCGAGTGGGGGGAGTTTTTTCCGCGCGCACCATCACAACAGCATAACCCGTGCTGCGGAAAGTACCAGGACCTGCAGTAGGCTGGGTCGTGCGCCCCCCGTGAATATGTGTTATTGCTTTTGTTTTGGTACACACACCCGAAATGTTGTTGATGCGATGTTGTTGATGCGAATCGTTGTTGTCAGCACTCCGTATGAGTTAATAAATGAAGTAGAAAAAAATGCCCCACCACTCAGAACACAGCAGCAGCAGAATATTTGAACTAGCACGCGAGTTGTCGCCGATTGCGAGCCCCTCCTCACTACGCCCTGTCGTGGTCTGCAAACCACACGCGAACACCCTCTGTAATATGCAGATAGTGAAAGCCGCGAGCTGTAGAGGAGGAGATGCGTGGTAGCTGGTCTGAACACGTGCCAAAGTTGGCCACTCGGTGTGGACGAGGTCAAAAAAAGAACACAGCAGCAGCAGAACCAAACCGACGCACACGTGTCCCAAATGACAGTTGAAGGACGCCGCAAAGAGAGGACAAACCGGGTGTGAACGAGTGACCTAGGGGTTGGTGCAAGGAAACAACGACGCGAGAAGTGTTCACCTATTAGGAGTAGGCTTGGGCACTCGTTTTTTTTGCAGAACGTCACCAATTGGCGCAGTTATCGATGAAACGGATTGTGAATAGAGTACATATCGGCACCGAACGCAGCCACGCGGGCACGAAATGAGAAACGCTTGGGTGCGGAATGATGGCCTTGTTACGCTACAGCTTGTGCACTTTTCCGCACCGAAAACGATCCTCAAACGGCTTGTTTATCGGTGCAAAGGTGGTGCGAACACACACACACACACACACACGGACATCAATTTGAGAACAGTAATTAATTCAGGGGTCGGGCTGACAGGCGGTCTTATTCAACGTGCGCAGAACCCAGGCGGGGAAACAAAAAGGACCCATCTACAACAGTTTTTTTGCGAAAAAAAAACTCCGCTATCGCTCCGTTTCTTTTATCGCACGCGCGCTTCGCGCGCGGAAAAAACTCCTAAAAAATAATCTGCGCAAGCCATGTTTCGGCCCCGTGCGTGGACCCCACGCGAAAATGCAACATGGAAGTCGAGTCCAGAGTCTCAAAACAAACACCCGGGGTCGCCAAAGATAAAAATGAATGCAGGCAGGCTGCTCTCGGCAACTGACCACATGAGCTGCCCCCGGATAAAATATAATTAGGCTGCGTTCTCTGCGACGGTTTACGCAAGGGATACTGCGAGTCCGCCGCAAAACTTATGACTTCCAAAAAAAGGCAACAGACCAGACGCGCACACCAAAAAATACACTCGCACAAACCTCGCCCAGCGCGTCCAACACGTAGCTCGTGTCGCGCGAGAAAAAAACACTGCACACTAGCTACTGCGCACCAGGATATACAGGAACGCCTCTTTGTATTCACTTTCACGGGGCTTGCAAAGAAAGGAAGTGCCACGTCATAGCAGGCGGATTCTCCCCTGCGTGATGTGGTCTCCATCGCCAGTCTACTACAAGCAGTCAGGACACACAAGATATCGATACACGGACGGATGGACAATGTCAAAAATCTCTGAACGGATATATGCATAGCTACTTCGAGGGGGGGGGGGGCTG